CATTTTCGAGTATATATCGTTAATAAACTTTAAATTTATATTTTACGAAGTTTTTATGTGTTTACGAGGGTTGTTCGAAAAGTTCGTGGACTGATGCGATAAAATTAATACTATGTAGTCTATGATTACAAAATTTTTAATGAACATAAAACAACAAAATTTAAAGAAATGTTGAAAATTTTAGCTTGATACCTTGAATATTTACCAAATTATCATAAAATAAAAAAGACATTATATGATCACCCGGCGCTGTCGCCATTTAGTTTCATGACGTCATTGTTTTTCAATGTCCGCATTCTCTACCTCATACACTTATCTTGATGAGTTTCCTTGGAGTTAAGTAAAGATTTAAACCCGTCTTGTTTATATGATTTTACAATGTCATAAACAGCTGATTTCAATGCATATAATATTGTAAATAGATCTGAAAGATCCTCATTTGATTACAACAGCATATTTGCTTGTCGGAGTTCAACATCTATCACACATGATCAACGTCATTTTTCGACGTGACAAACTTTGAACACCCTCACTACAAATCGACATTCACTTTTACATTTCTCGTCTCTCTAATCTTTTTCGGCGTTTAAAAACAAGTACTCTAAATGCATTTTATTTTTCAGTAGCCTATCTAAATATTTCCTAGGTCTATGCCAGTTTTTCCAGGGAGTGAAACTTTATAGAATGTTGGAAAAAGAAACCCACCCACCCCCCTTGTTGACGTCATTACAACCCCATAATTGTTTGGACATTTCATAAAATTTCATAGAACTTACAGAATGGTGTAAAAATTGCAAATTTTACGGTACAATTGTGTCATACCGATGAGTGAATTAACGAGATTTTTGAATGACAAATGCTCATATCAAAAAAAAGAGTTTTTTCTAAGTTACACTTAGGTAGAAAAAACGTAATTTTCGAGGTTGCGCCGCCTGGGCATACCATTGCTTTCAAAAACATCAATAATTTATTAAAAAATAAAACTAATGATGTATAGTTTATTATATAAATAAAAAAAGATGATGCTAATTAAACGTTAAAAAATTCATTGATGTATCTATAGCGGTTTTAATTTTATTGCGCTAGTCCACGAACTTTCCGAACAACCCTCGTTGATGCCTGATTTCTGTTAAGAAAAATAAATATACTTTGATTTAAAACAATCCCATACTGATGAAATTATCGTGAAGACCATGTTGACATTTCTGAACGGTAATTCAACTTTTAAACAGTAAATCATGTCAAAATATTAACTTTAAAATTTCAGATACAATATTCCTGTGTGGGTTATTTAAGCGTTTTTACTTTTAGGGGGAAATAAACAGGGTAAATGATAAATTTTTAAAGCAAAAGTTACTAAGCAATGTGTTCGTTGGGCTACCGCACGCAAGGGTTTGTGACGTCAGACCCAAAATGTTGGGTTGCCGCACACAAAGGGTTAAGACCTAACTATGTGCATTAAAATGTTTGCATCGAAGAGGGAATTTACCAAATAGGAAAAACTAGTGAGAAAACTTCAGATGAAGAGGAAAGTTCTGCTTAAGTTTTGTAACTGTTGGTAGTCTCCAAAGTTGGGTACACAAAAATATTTATGGCTAGGGCATGCTGTCCTACATATGGTTCAGAGTATGGAAAGATATTAAAAAGAAATCAGAGTATTGTAAAATATTAAAAAAAAAATTGTCTGGAATCTTAGGATTTGGCTGTATTAGAATATTTTATTCAAGTTGAGAACTGTAAACTCCTCTTACAGTACAGAATCTCGCTTTGAATTACTGTAAACGTCATGTAACAGCTTCTTTTAGTGTTAGCATTTATAAGTTACCATTCCAATTAATATTTTAATTTTGTACTGTGCTTCTATCCTTCGATTGAGGTTTTGATATTGTATGTGTTATGAATTTTAAATAGATATTTAGTACATGTATCAGTGGAAGATTTGTTTGTTTATTGCTTAACGTCCCCCTTGAGAATTTTTCAGTGATATGGAGTCGCCACCACTTGCCGGTGGAGAGCCACAATTTTGACCTATACTCAGCACTTAGGGCCATTGAGCAGTGAGGGATCTTTTTCGTGCCAGCACCTACTACGACACGGGACCTCGGTTTATACGGTCTCATCCGAAGGACCGGTCTCCATGTCCAACAGATGGGTTCGAACCCGCGACGTAAGGATCAACTCCTTACTCCGCTACTCTAGAGCGAACGCTCTAACAACTGCGCCACTCGGGCGTATCAGTGGTAGAGCAATAGAAACTATTTAATATACTTAATAATGAAATAACTTGGTTTACAAGCTCTGGGAGATTGGATACAATAAGAAATGTCTTTTCATTGGACAGACAATTTGTTTATATGAACTGCTGTTCATGAACATTGTCACTTTCCAATTTTTATCAACTTTGTGCAAACAGTATGTTGCAACCAACTACTTCACGTAGGAGTGTTAGTGTTAATTAAACAGTGTTTATGTAAACCAGGACACTTTATCAATTTTAATGATATGACAATCTGATTGGTATATATATTTCCAAATATGCAATTCCTTTGATGCAGCTCAATTAATTCTCTTGCAAAACATGCAAATGCACACTGACTGAGTATTAACTTAATTAAATACCATCATAGCTCTCAGACTTATGAGAGGCAATGATAATGTGAGACCTCAAGCCAATGAACGTTTAATTTTTTACCAGTGACCATTGTTTTACTGATTTGCCTTTGCTGTAATTCTTATAATAAACATTATAAAATTTTATAAACTTTCAAATTCTTAATTAATACAAACAAATCAAATGTTGTCCCTGTGCATAAAATGCAAATCATTTACAGATTCGAAGCCTTCTTAAGTTTTGATGTGTGGATGTACATGTTTATAGTAGAATGTATATTTGAATATGTTTTTAATAAGTGAAAATGTAACAGCAATTGATTGATTGATTGTATGTTGTTTTACGTCCCATTCCAGAATTTTTCACTCATATAGAGACGTCACCATATACAGGTGAAGGGCTTCAAAGTTTGACCTTTACTCGGCACTCAGGGCCATTGAGCAGTGAGTGAACTTTATCGTGCCAACGGCTGCCGTGACACGGGGCCTCGGTTTTTAAGATCTCATCTGAAGGACCCGCAACTTTCACTTCAAAGTGCCGAGCGCATGGTGAAGAAACAGTTGCTACCCATTTTTTATCGACTTAGGTCAGTCGAGGCCGAGATTCGAACTCATGACCTTCCGATCACGGAGCAAGCGCTCTACCGACTGAGCTACCGTGAACGGTTCAACAGCAATTGATCAAAAAATGATATATTATTTAATCTGATGCACTTTTTAAGGATCATTTTACATGTATGTAGCTATGTAAAGTGTACATACTGATTCGTGCATTATATAGACATAAGTCATACAACTTGGCAGATTCACCTATAAATAATATTATAGAGCAAATGGACTTACAGCTGTTAACTGCCTTTCAAATTGTAGACTGCTGTCCATGGAAATAAACTCTTACCGCTTTAAGAGAGAACAGCTGTTTTATGCCGAACTGCTTAAAACAGCTAAGATGTCAACTGTGAAAGCAGTTCTTAAAACTGTTATCTCATGAACAGCTAAGAACTGCTGTAGAACAGCTGTGAATTGCTAACAAAACTGCTAAATAACTGCTAAAAACCGCAGTTCGTTTTGTCTTGGGCTGTGGTACCTCACCGAGATATATCATGTCGACATAAGAATGGAAATAACCATTGTTAAATAGTTCCAATCTTTAAAATATAAACTCCAACCATAATCATTCGAATGCGTTTTTTTTAAACGAGGGGGAATGGGCGGTTTGTTTACATTCTGCATAGCAACTGCAAGGGAAATAACCGCTCTTCACAACATTGGCGTCGCCGGTAGGACCGCTGAAGTGCGACATTGTTTGTTTATATTTCGCGCCAATTTTTTTGTCTTTGTATTCGTTAATCTTATCAAATAAAAGTCTTATTCGAAAAATAAATTTATTGGCGGTTTCTATCATTTCCTAACTATTTTCTCCTTTTTTCAATTAGATTTGATCTGTTGTCGGATTTTCTGATAACGATCATAAATATACCACTCTTGATTTTCTGTCGGACCTTCTGATATTTAATCAACAACAGGTCTGTTTCTTCTATCTTTATTTTTTCAACAAAGTAGAACTTAATCAAAATGACAACTAGTGAAAGGGCTTATCATGAGACTTAGAGAAGAAAAAGGGACACTTTCTGTAGAAGACCTTAAATCACTAACAGTAATCCCAAGCACAGTCTGTGATCCCCTTGTAAATGAGGGTGTGATTGTTTTCAGAGAGTGAGAGAGAGTGACACAAACAGAAAAACACATCCAAAAATTGAAAAAGTCAAATTATAAAATTACAATCAGAAATTGGTAAGCTAACAAAAGACATTGAAAGACAAAATAGATAAATTGCTCAGTCAGAAAAAGACATCACTGCTAGACAACAAATGGAATTTTTAGAACATACATTAAGATCTGAACATGAAGAACAAATGTACAAGTTACAATAAAAATTTGAAACACATAAAAGCACACTACGAAAACACAATTAGTAAAAAAAAAAAGACAGCAAAGGACGAAGAACTTGCGGCGATGGAACAAAAACTTATGGAACAAGACAGTAGGTGGGTAAATAAACTACAACATTTAGAAAATAAAATCAAGCAACTTGAAGATGAAGAAATCAGTCGAGAAGTAGACAAGTTAGCCCAACCGGGAGGTTACAGAAAATCTTCATCCGTAGACCTTGACACCAATGAGCCAAATCCACCAAAAATGTCTACATTTGATGGAAAGAGTGACTGGACACCCTTCTTTACACAATTTTCCCACATTGCATCTATATACAAATGGTCCAATGAACAGAAACTGGACAAACTTATCGAGAGTCTTCGAGATAAAGCCTTGAAATATATCAGTCTAGACCAAGTTCAGATCAGAGAAGCTTCAAGAAACTGAGCCAAAAAATGAATGAGAGATTTGGCAGAAAAGACCTTCCTCATATAATACGAAGACAACTTCAAGATGTCAAACAAGGTCCCGAAGAGTCCATAGAAGAGTTTGCAGATAAAGTTTTGGAAATGACAACAGACGGATACCTAGACACGCCTGAAGACTGTGAACAAACTGTTGCAATAGATGCATTTTTGAAAGGCTGCACAAACAAGCTGCGCTCATTGCCATGGACAAAAATCCACCCACATTAGACATTGCAACACATTAAAAGTGCAATCACAATTCAAAAGCTCATTTAGATCTAAAAAAGTCTGAAACAAGAAGGGTGAAGTTTGAGATTTCAGAGAGTGAGAGTGAGGAAGATGAGGAAAAAGTTAACAAAGTTAGGACTATTTACAACACAAAACAAACATCGACACAATACATTGAACAAACAAAATTGTCAAGACTAGAGTCGAGGGTCAGCAGATTAGAAGACGACACATAAAAAGTAACATTCAAGAGATCCTTCAAACTCTCAAATCTCAAAGTAAAATATTCAATTGCAGGTCAAACATTTGAGAAAAAGCAAGAGTTGTACCTCTATCTAATAGCCAAATAAGGCAAACTGGCGATCGAGAAGGTCACTTCGACAAAGAACATCCTATTTTAAAAAAAAGATCACTGTCATCTCAATCAAAGTCTTTAAACTCCAACAGGTTGAAGATGTAGGCCACTCTTCAACCTATTCAGACACTTCAGATAGGCCTCGTCCAAAAGTTAAATTCAAAGTGACAGCTATGCAAAAAAATATCATCATCAAAACTATAGTAGCAAAAAGGTGAGGTTAAGGGTAGGGCCAACTGTACAAAGGTGACATGTAGTTGTCGGGGAAATAGCAGGTTCATTATACCCCTGCTCCGAAGGAGAGGGGGGGGTATACTGTTCTACCCTTGTGTGTGTGTCTGTCTGTCCATCTGTGTAACTGTCTGTGTGTCTGTAACAAATTTTTCGTCACAGTTTTCTCAGCAACTTCTCAACGCAGATGCTTGAAATTTTAGCACACACTTTGTTGAGGCATGCCATATGGTGGGAATAATTTTTGTACGAATCCAATGTCAACTTCCTGTTTATCCGTGCGTCTGTCCGTACCATACATAACAAAGTTTGGTCGCAGTTTTCTCAGCAACTTCTGCTTGCAGATGTTTGAAAGAGCAAGAGCCACTTAGGGCCTTTTCTGGCCCTGTGAATTTCCGAAAATTTAAAACTGTATAGTTTTAGTCAACAAGGCAATAAATAATACTTGAGCACTTGGTGAATGAATATCTACTGAAAATGACGTAATTTTCTTTCTCGTCAATGCATTATGACGTCATGAATTGCGTCATTATTCACATATCCTGAATATTTCTTCAAAAATGGACAAAATATGATGCCATTTTTCAATATTTCGTATACAGCACAACCTCCGATCCAAAATGTGAAAATATATTATAGAAGAACTTTTAATTAAGATTATAAAACATATTTTAATTTTTGGATCGAGGGGTGTGCTCATATTTTAATTCTTTGCTGAAGGTTCTCAAAAACACCTGTTTTCTGTAAAATTCAAGAACATTGCAATTTCACACAACCTGTTTTTCAATGCCTGGACTCTCCAAAGGAAATTCTGTTATATAAACTGAAAGCACTAAGTCTCTACTTTATATTAATGTTGAAAATGGTACACGGGGTATTAGTCAATAAATTGGTATATCTACAGGGCCATTTTATGCATAAAGTGAACCTAGCTCTTTTATCATTTTCTTTGTTAAAGCATGACATATGGTGGGATTAATTTTTGTACGAATCCGATGTCAACTTCCTGTTTATCCGTGCGTCTGTCCGTACCATACATAACAAATATTGGTTGCAGTTTTCTCAGCAACTACTGATGCAGATGCTTGAAATTTTAGCACATCTTTTGTTGAGGCAAGCCATAAGGTATGATTAATTTTTGTACGAATCCAATGTCAACTTCTTGTTTATCCGTGCGTCTGTCCGTACCATACATAACAAATTTTGGTCGCAGTTTTCTCAGCAACTTCTGATTACAGATGTTTGAAATTTTAGCACATTCAAAAAATTTTATTAGGTATGCCATATGGTGGGATTAATTTTTGTACGAATCCGATGTCAACTTCTTATTCATCCTTGTGTCTGTCCATAACTGAGCTCGTGTACATTCACATCAAAGCGGGGATATTACTAGTGAGCATTGGCTCACAGACTTGTTATTTAAATTATCTGATATTTTCAACATATTTTTGACACTAGGGATTATGCATCGGATATACTGATGCATTATGATAAATCCAATTTAAGATTTTTCTTCAGCAGTAAACGTATGCAAAAAGAAGCCAAAAAGACAAATATCATTAGTTTCTAATTCATGTACAGGATTGAATAATTAAGATCTTCCACTATGATTATTATCTTTTATACAGTGTAATTAGGCCAAAAAAAATATACTCTTGTTTCCGGTCGCCCGACCGACCGACCCTACATTTTACTCTCCGACCCTAAAAGTTTTTTTTTTTTTTTTTTTTTTTTTTTGGTTGGTTGGTTGGTTGGTTATTTTCCGGAAATATTAAAGTCCCCCGACAATAATTTACGTTTTAGCATAGAAGTCTCGTAAACGTTTGAATACAAAACTCGACAGGACCTGTCAAAAAAGCGCATGGTAAACGTTGACCCCGTAACTTGGCGAGATCAGCAAGCGTGCTGTCTCTAGAATTTCCACCATGTATTCATTACAAAGAATGTCGAAAATTTATTACCAGTGTGCAGGATACCTCTACCTTTTCACATGTTTTTAACACGTATCACGGCGCTCAATCAAGTAAAGAAGCAGACTTTACTGTGCATGTGTCGGGACAGGGTCAGACGGATATCCACGGAGCCTTGACAGTTGGAGAAGTTGCACACAATTTCTCTTTACGTTCTTTTACATTTTGCTGCAAAGCACAGACTGATTCTGAAGTAAGCGAATTACGACAGCATGCCGAGATTGCCACAAAGAAAGCCGTAAATGCATTTGAATTGGTAATGGCAGGTGGCCGTTCTTTTCCTGACAAGAAACAGAAGAGGTTTGCTTCAAAATACAAACATATGACAATTGCAGTTTAGTATTATATTAAATTAGATAGCAAATTGGCATGTTTCTGCTAGTATAAGGGAGACTGCCCAACATCACATGATTTTAAACCATTGTATAGATTTGAGATCAATGTGCAAATATTTTGAAATATTTTCATAAAAACATTTTCTTCAGAGGAAAAAATGCTATATAAGTCCAAAACTATATCCTTTTGTTGAGTTGTAAATCAGATTAACATAATTTTGTAGCTCCGGAATCAAAGATGGGCTCTCAAGAAAAGATGAGTTGTACAACACCTTGATTGACACCTTTTTTAAGCAACATAAGCTGGATATCCCAAAACCAGTGGCAGAGACAGAGGGCAGCTACGTAGTTCAAGTATGTGTCCCAAAGATATTTTATATTGAAAAGATATTTTTATTTCTTAATTCATTTCGATGCATGTGAAAAGATTTTTTTTCTCTGACAGATTTGACATTTGATATGGTAAGTCCTAAACTATGCTGGGAATGGCCCTCCTATGCTTGCTAGTCTGTGCAATTAAATTTGTAAATGGTGTGTGTCTTACATTCTTAAATGTGGAAATGGTGTCAATGTGTCTTTCTTTAATTTGTATCCTTCAGTCTATCTTAACTCTCATTTTTCAAGTCTTCTAATGCCTTCACACAATATGTAACATACATATACTACTTACTCTGTCTAACAAGATTTACTGTCCAAGTCCCATTAGCCTTACCACTATGTAGAATTTTTTTTATCAGATTTCTGAAAAATCATTATTCTCTTCAAAATGTTTATAATGAATGCAAACAAAGTTAGTTTAGTACTTGAATATTGTGGTCAATAAAATTAATTAAAATAGTTTTGTGTGTAAAAATATTAAATGTTTCAACTTAGCCTGACTTCATTTTTTTTTTTGCAGTTGTTATGTAATGCATTATGGTACATTACAAACCAACATATGACAATTAATGATGCTGCACGTGACAGAGAGGCTTTAACTCCAATTCCTGATGTATTTGATATTTACCAGGGCTTTAATGACTTGAAAAGAAAGAAAATGAAGCAGATGCCACTTGATGCTGGATGTCTTAAATCTCATGCAGAAACATTATATAGGTCAGTTTAAATATTACAGAAATATTTGTAGCATAATATAATATTTGACACACTGTTTATATCAATTCAATTTAAATGAATTGATGTAAACAATGTATCAGAGTTGAAGTTGATCTGTAAAGTGGAAATGGATTTATCTGAGACGTTCAAATGGTATTGATAAATCTGACAAGGAACCAGTCTACTTTTTATTTATACTTTTGACGTATCAAAGATTATTTCACACACAGTGGCAAATTATTAATATCAAGTTGATATTTCTTAAAACATGAGCTTCATTTTTTTTGTAGTGTTCTATTGAAGCCAGTAACTTCCTCAACTGCAGCATGGAGGAAGGGAAGCAAAGAAATTCAGGGCCTGGCTGACTGTCTTGACTCTTATAGCAAGTACCTAGAAACGAAGAATAAAGAAATACAGAAAAACCATGCAGAGAATCACCCTGCAAGAACAATAGCTGAAGATGCAACTATTGAGCATAGGGCACCAACATTAATGGTCAAGCAGCAATACCTACTGCTAGATGCTGTCATGAAAGGAAAAGAAGTTGGAGATATATTTGTAGCATAATATAATATTTGACACACTGTTTATATCAATTCAATTTAAATGAATTGATGTAAACAATGTATCAGAGTTGAAGTTGACCTGTAAAGTGGAAATGGATTTATCTGAGACGTTCAAATGGTATTGATAAATCTGACAAGGAACCAGTCTACTTTTTATTTATACTTTTGACGTATCAAAGATTATTTCACACACAGTGGCAAATTATTAATATCAAGTTGATATTTCTTAAAACATGAGCTTCATTTCTTTGTAGTGTTCTATTGAAGCCAGTAACTTCCTCAACTGCAGCATGGAGGAAGGGAAGCAAAGAAATTCAGGGCCTGGCTGACTGTCTTGACTCTTATAGCAAGTACCTAGAAACGAAGAATGAAGAAATACAGAAAAACCATGCAGAGAATCACCCTGCAAGAACAATAGCTGAAGATGCAACTATTGAGCATAGGGCACCAACATTAATGGTCAAGCAGCAATACCTCCTGCTAGATGCTGTCATGAAAGGAAAAGAAGTTGGAGATATTTTGTTTTTTAATGAAAAAGAACATGTTCATGAACGATTTATAGACTCAAAGCAGAAATACCGATTTCTTAAGTATCTTCATTTGTCTGTTCCAGTGGACATTCTAAAATTCAGTCCAGGTGGATCCACAACAGCCTCATTCATAATCTCTAAGACATCAGAGAACCGCACAGAGTCACAGATATTAGTTCAGGGTGCCAGATTGTTGCAGACAGCAAGATCTGAAATGCAGGAATTTCACACCCGAGAGATGAAAAAAGCATTCAAAGAGAAGATTAACAACATCACTTCATTGTCACCATCTGTTGTGGAATACATATACAAGGAGTTGGCTTTTGATGGCAGCCAAACTACTAATCCAGTAATGCAAGAGCGTTTACGTCTTATTTCATTAGGCCATACAGATTTAATTGCTGATCTGAGGCATACCAATCCAGGAAGACCTAACACAAAATTTGATGTGTTTTTTGAAAAACTTCATGAAGTACTTGAGAATATAACAGCTGCTGATGACAGGAAACACGGCCATGCTCATCTCAGTGAATTCATTTCAATATCAGACATGATCCAAAGAGCAGTATCTACATGTCCACCTGGCACCCCTGTTCCTTCAGCAAGCCTTGTAAAACTACAGTTTGCTCCAAGAAATCCATATTGCCAAGGGGCTTTGAATTTTACGTCTCGTTTGAATGTACAATTTAAAATTCAAAGAAGACAACTGCGCACAACTCATCCTGACAGCCATTTCTGTAATGCTCAGTTGAAGTATTTGAAGTCCTTTGCTGTAGAGGAAGCTGAACGATGCATGATGGTGTGCTGCGATGATAAGGCAAAAGTACCAATTGGTGATCCAGGTGCAGCAGTATCAACAGGAGTGAGGGGGAAAAATCAATAGTGCCTACTGCCAGTACCCTTGTTGCCCTTGATCATGATATGACTCGATGTTCCCTCACACCATCAGTTGTACTACAATGCCAAGTGCCAAAAAGTGTCGACAAGTCTTTTGTCCGTGGAAAGGTTTTTACTGTGCTGAATGATTCCATTTTTCAGCCTGCTTCTCCTTTTCGACACGCAGCATTCCTTTCAAAGATGATGCAGAATTCAGAAAATCTGAAGCCAATACTGTTGAAGTTTACAGACGGTGGAGTAGATCAAAGAAACACACTTGAAGCTGTTAAATTGGCAAACATCTGCTTGTTTAAGGAGTTTAACTTGGACCTCTTGATCCATGCTCGCTGTGCACCAGGACATAGTTATACAAATCCCGCAGAAAGAGTGATGAGTATTTTAAATCTAGGGTTCCAAAATGTATCTTTGGAAAGAAAACCCTGTGAGAAGAAGGTTGAAGATAGTTTGAAAAACAAGAATAGCATGGCAGAAATCAGGACATTTCATGAAGAAAATCCAAACTTGGGAGTAAGAGAAGCGTGGACAGAATCACTGGAGGAAATTAAAAGAACTATCCAGAACAGATTTATCAGACTGAAGCTCAAAGATTAGCCGATCCAGGTCTTGGATCCTCTTAGTGACCAAGATATTGAGGTATTGAAACGACACCTAAGAGAACTATTCCCAGACATGGACTTGACCACATTACAGAAGACACATACGAAAAAAATTAAGTCATACCAAGCTTGGTTGGACAGACACTGTAAATGTACACAGTACGTCTTTCAAATGAAGAAATGTGAGGATGTATCTAGTTGCATTCCCCCTAAAAGTCCTTTACCTTCATGGCTGCCAGACCCCCAGTTGGATGCTACAGGTGATCATTACCTTCCTTACTCAGAGGTTAGAGGGCAGGAAACTACAGAAAAGGACAGACCAACCCTTAAACTTTTGAAGGAGAAAAAAAAGAAACCAGTACCTCTCAACTCCACTGAGAATACAATAGTCAACACTGCAAATCAAGAAGAATCTACAGATGGCCAAGAATGCTCTACTAATATCCAAGGCATGACAAGTGAGAATATTGATTTAGGATATATTGAGGAACCTCAATCAACACCAAGTCTATGTACTGTACAGAATGCCAGGTCACTTGTAGAGTGTGTGGAATGCAGAAAACCCAGAGTAATCTATTCAAAACACAAGTTAACAGAGAGACAACAGTATTCTATTGTATGTGGACTTAGCAAGCTTGATTACACATGTGGCTCACCTCTACTGCCACCATCCAATCCACTATATAAATATGTGATGGCTAGATCCAACATAACTTGTGAAAGTCCTCTTGAGTTGTCCTACTATAGGAGTGGTCTTGGGCATGCAAATTTGTGTTCATACTGTTGTGGAGAGGGGGAGGTGAAACAAGAGCTTCTTCAGAGATTCAAGACTGTACTTCCTTCTTGTGAAAGCTGCATCTTGCTGGGAAAAGACATCACGCAGTACAGTTAAGGTGCCAAATGGAAATATCGGCGAATTTTTTAGATAGAAAATACATTCTTTACAAGGATGGGCGTTTCTTTTTAGGACTTTACTATTATCGGACAAATGCAATGTGGTTGAAAACTACATGTTGAGGACGATTAGATTTCTTATTTAGACTTGTCACGTGATGTGGCAGTCAACGTAATTTTAGCAAATATACCTGAAGTATTGAGGTCATCTATAAATTCTAATATTGCAAGGGCATAACCAAGTTAAAAGCCCAGGTTTAACATACAATTATTTTCAACACTCTTTGTAGTTTGTGAAAAATGCTGCGAACCTATATAGATTCTACTATCTAATTGCTAAAATTACATTTGTTAGACCGTATGTTGAATATTTTGCTGGTCAAGTACATTAAATATAGATCTTATTAATTTATTTGCAAGATTTCAACAGGTTCGCAGCACTTTTCAAATATCTTCATACTTCTTCAGTTTATGTGTAAAAGCTTGTCATAATTCATTGAGGGTATGCCCTTGCAATATATCGATTTATTACGACCCTTCTATTACCCTTCAATGAATCTGCATACAAATATACAACAGTATCGCTTGTCTAGGGAATGTACGGGAAGTATATGAATAAAATCATAAAATAGACATCGCATCCAAGTTAATGGCCTTTCATATATCTACAATCTATATTTCATTTAATTACAAAATACAGTTTTCATTGTATAAATATAACTTGATCCGCCTCTCACTGCATACAAACTGCGTCAAATTTTACGATATGACGTCACATTGACAAGTGCATTGCGATCAGTGAATTGTTGATATATTGGTGTGTGGGATTTAACCAACGGCAAAAATGCATGCACTAGTTAGTATTGATGTAGTTTAAAGCTATTCAACATTTAAAATAGCAAATCATTTCATTTTGTGGTAATTTGAAGAACTTGTATTTTTGTGTGATGTCATAGTAAGCATTTCCCGTATAAATTACACAGAGGCCTTTTGGAAAATTTTAAATCTTTATTTAAAAGATTACAAATTTTCCAAAATGCCTCTAAAGCTGAACACGACCTCTAAATAGACTTATGCCATATTCGATTATACTATCTATGATATCAGCACAGGGATATACCCTTTGCATTCATTACACCTGACTCCTTTATTGTCCTGGGTATCGGCATGGAATAGCAACACTTGTTTGTGCTGGTTATCTTACAATACCTTTGTTTACATTTATTGCAGTATTAAACGTATATTTGTGTTTGTTTGTATACTGCACTGACCTGTGCAAATGTTGTAAGTTTCTTTGGTATCTTTCTCTCCTGCCGTAGAAGAAGTAGTTATTTTTTGTTGCTACCGAGTGGTGTGTGAATACAATCAAACCTCGTTATCTCGAACTCGATGGGACCGAAAAAAAAGTTCGAGATATCCAAGGGTTCGAGATATAGTGGGTAAAATACTTAAGAAATCTGTGGTTATGAATTTCTTTATCATTTTGACATATCCATGGTATTTGAGATATCAGTGTTTGAGATACTGAAGTTCAACTGTAATCTACAGACCCTGAAACGTGCTACTACCCCAAAAAAGCGTGTGACTTTCGTGCGCTTTTCGTTTCGTGCAAACCGTGTAGCGTTTCGTGTAAACCGTGCAGCGTTTCGTGCAAACCGTGTAGCGTTTCGTGTCAACCGTGCAGCGTTTCGTGTAAGCTCCAAAGCGTTTCGTGCAAACCGTGTAGCGAGCGTGCGAGAAGCGTGTGAGAAACGTGCGACTTTCGTGTAAGAACCGTGTGAGAAACGTGCGACTTTCGTGTAAGAATCGTGTAGGATTCATTCGGAACTCATTTTATCTTAAATATGGCTATTGATGGATCAACACGTCATTCTGTGTTGTTTGTAACTAATATTATTCGAATATATTATACCGGTGGTATTTTAAGAGAGAAAAAAAAAACTACGGAAACAACAAAATAAAATTACTCGGTAATGTATTCCATATTTGTTTGATTTTCTTTCTTTTTTAATTTAAATAAAGAAGGAAAGAAAATATTTTCAAAGTAATTAATTATACGCACATCAATTTTAAGGTATTTGATT